CAAACTAATGTCCAATCAGTCAAACAGAGCTTATCCTAAAATTCTTCTCTACAGTTTAGCCAAGAATAATACAACTTGTATTATGTGGGAAGGTTAGAGCACAACCTAAACTTTGTCCACAATGTGGGTGTCAGCAATGGAAATCAGCATTTGCCTACAGCAAACAGCTTACCTGCTGAACAAATACCCCCTCTCTATCTCTGTCTCTTTCTTTTCTTCCTTTTTTTTTATCTTTCTGCCTATGTGTCTTCCTTCCTTTCCAGTTCTCCTCTCCTTTTCTTTTCTTTTCTTTTCTTTTCTTTTCTTTTCTTTTCTTTTTGAGACAGGGTTTCTCCATAGCTTTTGGTTCCTGTCCTGGAACTAGCTTTTCTAGACCAGGCTGGCCTCGAACTCTCATTTTCTTTTATCATCCTTCTTTATTTCCTTCTTAACTACTTTCCTCCATCTCACTTCCCTGTCACTCCTCCTTTCTCTTTATTTTATGTGCCCATGTTTGGCCTAGTTCACCTGGCCCTCTTCTTGCCTGACTTCCCAAGGGCTGAGTTTACAGGCCCAGTCATTACAGTCCTTTTCATTTGGGAGTATTCCTCAACTGTGCCTTCTGATTTGGTCAACTGCTCTTTATATGTGTCTCTACACATGCACCCAATCCATTGTAGGATTTTGGATTTTCCCCTGTTATACCTTTATTGTAGCAATCAGCTGAAAACATTTCTTTCTTCCTTTTCTTTTTTTTTTTTTTTGACATGTTGTCTCTCTATGTAGACTTAACTGTCCCAGACCTTTCTGAGTAGAAAAGACTGACCACAAACTCACAGAAATTAATCTAAGTCTACCTCCAAAGTAGCAAAACTAAAGGTGTGTACCACCATATCATGATTTAGATTCTTTCCTTGCCTTTTCTTTCATGCTGATTTATTAGTAGGTTGTGGATGAGTGATCTAGTGTAATCACTGTGATATGCCAATCGCACATGTTTCAATGTCTTCAGTTTGTTTAATGTTTTCAGTGCTAATTCTTTCTTTGGTCTTATTTTCTTCCTCTTTGGTGCTTATATTTTCGAGGTGTGTTTTTTCTTATTGGTAAGGTATCTTTTTATCTTATCTATGAGGTGCATGTATTTTGACCAGAAATCATGAGGGGGGACTTGAGGAATTATCTGGTGCTGAGGTATCATCTGCACTCTCCAATATTCCAGAGATTCTCTGAGTCTAAGAAAGTTTTGACAATGTCCAACCTGCCTCAGGAGTCTGCATTCCTTGGAGTACCTGGCAAGTTAGTTACCTTCTAGCAACTGAGGCACTTCCTGTTCCTAATGTCCTAGACTTAGTAGAGTGAGAACCACCTGCTTGATTAGCACAGTGGCTTCCACCTTCCCACAGTGGTTTTTCCCAACAATCCCATTTCATCTGATTGTCATTTCTGAGGAGATCTTCAGTCTTTCTTGCTGGCTGGTAGCACTTTCTTTTGCTTTTCAGTTGTGTTGGCAATCTCACTTTGTATCAACATGTACAAAATCTACTTTCTGAATCTCTTCAGAAAAGCTCTCAACAGTGTGAGGTCAGCAGACCAGTGCTGGCAATACAAGAGCTTATTTTCTTTTTTTTTATATATATATTTTTTCGAGACAGGGTTTCTCCTTAGCTTTTTTGGTTCCAGTCCTGGAACTAGCTCTTGTAGATCAGGCTGGCCTCGAACTCACAGAGATCCGCCTGCCTCTGCCTCCCAAGTGCTGGGATTAAAGGCGTGCGCCACCACTGCCCGGCAAGAGCTTATTTTCTGAACCAAATTTGGGACAAAGTTTTCTAATTTGTGAGTTTACTGCTAGGAAAAGCCATCCTAGTTCATAAAAGTGAAATTATATCTCAGGGTTTACATTATTGTATATGACTTCTGCCACAGCTGGCTGTTTAACTCAGTGCTGGAACACTTGATTAGCATGCATGTCACACTGGATTCATGTATCGGGAAACAGGACTGAGAATAATGTGGAATAATAAATTTAATAGAACAAGATCTGCTCCTCTGTTCCAGAAAATTTAGATTTCTTGACTTGTATCTGTTTTGAAAATTCCATAAGTAGACACAATGTATCTAATTTATATTTTCTTCACAACTTTTATGCATGCTCTCTTTTCTCCCTATTTTTCCTCCCTCCCTCACCCCCTATCTGCTGGAATGCTGACTGACCTAGTTGGATTGATCTTCCTAAGGTCTTAAGCAGGTAACAACTACAAATATTTCATGAATGCAGTAGCGATGTCATTTCTAGAGGACAGCAATTTTTGTCCTCCAACTCGTCCAGTAATACCGGATTCTTTCCATACAGATTGCAGATTTCTTTCTTCAGGGTTTCATAGTATCAAAAGCTAGTAAAGCCTAGAGGCAATATACACATTCACCCAAAAGTAACACCAAAATTTTATGTTTATTCTATCCCTACATCCATGATTCCTGCTTTTATTATAAAAAAGATATGAGAATGTAATGTTCTATCTCTTTAAGAGATGAGCCATCCACACTCCCTTCCTACTTGAAGTCTTAGCCCCTCTTTTTTCTTTCTGTCCTTCTCTCGAAGAGGCAACTACTGCCTTTCCCCACTTCTCCACTTCCTCTCTCTCTCTCTCATCTCCTCCCCTTCTCCCCTCTCTTCGATAATCACTATATAAATATCCAACTCCACATTGTATGGTGTGTCTATCTGTCTGTCTCCCACCCACCACCCATATGCCTCATCGAAGAACTGCCGCATTATCTTGTGTGCCATACCAGGACCCATTATCTGCCACCGTGAGCATCTCACAGCAAGCTGCTGGGGACTCACAGAATTTTAATAATTCATTACAGACATATATCTGAAAATTCATTAAGTACGGATGATACTAATATAAGATATCTCCATTTGGAAAGTAATGTTGAATTTCATCCCATATGTTAAATTTATTTATTTTTATTTTATGTGTATTTATGCTTTGGATTCATGTCTGTGTGACTGTGTCATGTCATCAAGAACTGGAGCTACAGATAGTTGTGAGATTCCATGTAGGTACAGAAAATTGTGCCAAGTTCCTCTTGAAGAGATATCAGTACTCTGAACCACAATACCATCTCTCCAGCCCCATCACTGAAGTACAAATATGGCTTCAGAACTGCAGACAAAGAGTTTGCTTGAAAATTACTCCCTTGTTCTTCCTGTCTCATGCACGCTAGATTTTTTCTCATTCCTACTGTCTTAGCTTTTGAGATGTCTATTATTGGTAGTCAAACTGACTATATCTGGGATTAATTAATACACATAGAACTGAATATACCTGAGAGATTTTACTTAAAGGTGTTGAAATGGGAAAACCCTCCATTAATCGGGAAAACTTGAGATGATAGGACTGACCTTTAGCTGCTTGTTGTCAGTGCACACTTAAACACCATCACTCGAGAGGCAGAGGCAGTGGGACTTTCTGATTTTGAGACGAGTCTGGCCTACAGAATGAGTTTCAGAACTACACAGATAAACCCTGCCATAAAAATCACCTGAATAAATAAATAAAAATAAACCCAAATAATACAAAGACTATGATCTAACTTTAACCAGGATCTCACAATCTGGTATCAGCAGTCACATATAAAGTATACTGAAGAAGAAAATTCTCTTATTTTGGCTTCTTTACTCTACCTCTGCCTACCAAGTTCATTTCTTTACTAGCATTAGAGTCCACTTCTTTGGAATTTTGGTGAATACTGAAAACCAACTTAGACATCGAGTCTCATGGATTGAAAAACAACTGAATGCTTCACTTGATCTTAGACAAGAGGCTGAGTAGTAATCTAGTGGATTCTTCAATTGCCATTGGTAGCAGCTATTTTTAGGTGATCAGGATCACAGCTTGTGAGACATTATGATAAGCCCGCTTCCTACTTAAATGGTGAGATTCATTCTATCAATACTGTTCATGTCGAGAATCTTGAAAGCTGCAGTTGTATATTTTATTCACCCGATCTTGGAGGGAGATGTGCTAGCTAACAATGGTGCTTGTGAAGACAATTTTCCTAGCTCCATTATCTCTATGTATTCAGATTTTCATGAATACTACCCTCTTTATTATTATTCATTTGCCTGGAGGTTGCTTTTATTATTAGGAATAAAACCCATAAAGCAATGGAGCCATCATCCAGCTTTTCAATGTGGGAAAGACCTATCTTTTTTTTTTTTTTTTTTTTGAGACAGGGTTTCTCCATAGCTTTGAAACCTGCCCTGGAACTAGCTCTTTTAGAACAGGCTGACCTCGAACTCACAGAGATTTGCCTGCATCTGCCTCCTTCCTAGAACTGGGATTAAAGGCATGCACCAACAACACCTGGCCTGACCTATCATCTTGTTTGTGATCTAGTTCCTGCTTTGCTTTTATTTTTTTTTTTTCTGTTGGAAAATCCTGTGAAAACCATGTTAAAAGTACCTTCATTTCATCTGACCTCAGCATGAATCCACAGAACAAGCATCTCCTTTTGTAACTTAAAAACTCTCTCTAGTTGTTAATATTCTGGGCATCCTTTTCCCTGTGGGACAGGAAATTACTCCACCCAGCTAGCTTGGTAAACTGTACAAACTAGCTAGCTACTTTGCATCCAGGAGGAAAAGGGAAAAGTTCCTATGGAGTGCAAAAAGATGACAGTGAGTGCTTTTGTAGCCAGGGGCAAGTCATGCATATGTTCTCAGAACTGGAAAAGAATTTTTGATGGGGTGAGAGGAATGACCAGGAATCCATATGCTGTCTCTTTAAGTACACTGTAGCTCTATGGGAGGTGTTTCCTCCACTCAGGGCTCACTAGCCAATCATACCCTCCAGGTGACCTGCCAGTCAAAGCAGGGCAGGTCTCTTCCCAGCAGCCGCCTTCAGGCTTGACTTTGAAGGGGAGCTGGCAGCAGTGCTTTCCTGTCCTGTGGAGCAGTTGTTCCTGCTTGGCGATGATGAACTGAGAGCTTTGGTGACCTGAAGAACGACAACATGGTGAGCAGGGAAATGCTGACTCCTGGTGGGAACAAGAGACGGTGAGGTGCGGAAAACAGTATGGTGTGTCCTCCCGGGATCTGGATGAGAAACTGCCACCGTATTCCCTGTATTGTTAAGTCCCACGTGGTCCCTGCTAACTCATGGGCCTAGGGGCAGGTTTCTGAATAACTTTACTCTGACTTAATCTGCTTAAAATATTGGGAACAGGAAGCTGTGTGTACAAACACCTTTCTAGTCAACTTCAACAGGCTTGTTGCATCCATGGAAACAAACTCAGGCCTACATACACCAGTGTCTTTTCAATATTGAACCCGTTGCATATAACCTTTAAATATAATGGATAAGAATAAGAGAATCCCCACTGGTACAAGAAATCCAATTTGGTCAAATCAAACCAAATCAAAATGCCCATCGTTTTATTAAGTAAGACGATCTCAGGTGGCCAAACGCATGGTGGGGTGACAGGACAGCAAGGAGCTCATGCAGACCCCCAAACCACCTGTTCCTCCTCTAGGAGGCCCCTTAAATATCCTGTAGGACTGGTCCTGACCCTTCCCTGTGTTGGGGGTCAGGACTTTACAAGCTGGGATTAGGAGTCCAGAGCAAAGCAACTCCCAGGCCAGGGGCTGGGGCTATGCCCCCAACTTAATAATAATATGAATTTATATTTAAATTTTTGGAAGTTATCAAAGGCTTCTTATGTGTTGGGTAGAAGCCACTACTATACCATAATGCAGAAGAGAAGAATTGGTGACACAAAGGATTTACCAATGCTTAGTGAGTAATTAAGTCTCACAAAGTAGAATTTAGCCGAGGGAGGACTGTGTCTAAAACACCCAAAAGCTAAGAATATGCTAATCATGGCTGGTAGAGATTAGATGCTTGGTCACCATGATTGCCCAGATACTTCGATCCAAACCATTTCAAAGAAGATATCACTGATTTAAAAAAAATTCACTAGGCCCATCCACATATCAAATAACAAGCCTCTTACCAAGCTGCTCAAGGAGGTATTACAGGGTCACAACCAACCTTAAGACCTGGTGTGTCTAAAAGTTCCAGTTTCCTTTTTGAGAAAAGCACAGTTCTGCCAAATGGGCAATATGACACCAAATGATATATATTTGAAATGTAAAACATTGTTGTGTGAGTGACTGACCTGATCAATCAAGGCTTCCATTTAGGACCTCAGGCAGGGAGGAGGGATACTCTTGGAAGATCTAGAAACAGCCTAGGACCTGAGCCTTGTGAGTTTCCCTAATGACCTGATGTATTGATAATCAAACATAGATTCTTCTCAAAAACCAGAAATATTCTTTGCAGCTGGTAATGGTCTGGTCTGGTGCTAAGGACTTTGTGGAGGGGTTGCCTCAGCTCTGGAGACCCCAACTCAGAGCTATGGATATCAGTACCAAGGCCACTCTGCACTAAACAAAGTTTTTGAAATACCCCATGTTCCCCTTGTGTAGAATTTTTGGACTAGCCTCCTTCTAAATTTGTCTCATTGGATGATATTTTCTACTGACTTTATAAAATTTTTTCAGTTTTCCTCTGGAAGTAGTATATAAAATGCTAGCTGATGTCTTCTATTTTTTGGTTTTCTGAGACAGAGATCCTCTGGGACATTTCTGAACATCCCGGAACTCTGTAGACCAGACAGGCCTTGAACTCATAGACAATCTCATGGCTCTTTCCCTTATGTCTTGGGATTAATGGTGTGTGCCACCACCACCTTGCAAAATGCTATTTTTCTTCAGAAGCTTACTAGGCATGGGACGTATCTTCTGCAATACATCCCCACCCTATGTTTTTGCCTTTTAGTTGTCCTGTCTTTCTCATCCCCCATGTCCTTCATTATCAGTTCAGAATGAACTGATGTAACATGTCCCTGGTGTACTTAAAATATTCTGGGAATATTTTTGCTGTGTAATTCTACCATTCCCCTAAATGTCTAGACTGGCAAGTTGCCTGTTTCTATTTCAATTGTTCAAAGTGTAATCTGGATCATGAACCTAAAGGATACTTAAGGATAACAGCATATATTAAATGCAAAATCTGTCTAACCTGGTTCCCCTTGAGCAGTGGCCAGAGATTGATGCATGCCATCATTAAAGAGACTTTTTTAAAATTAATCTCTTAAGGGTGTGAAGTGTTTTCTCAGGGGAAAGTCATATTAATTCTAGAACTGCTGAATTTCCATCCTGATAGAAAAATTGTTTCTCAGACAACTTCTCTTATGTTGACTCAGGTGGCCTCAGTCCCTGTTTTTTTGCTTTCCAAGGCAATGACCTTGAGTGTCCCCTACATTACACCTTCAAAATTCTTAAATGAGTGCAGCACCTCACAGTTTTAAAATTATGCATTTGAGTCATGTAGTTGACTATCCAATGCACTAACAGGGAAAGGATTTGCATATGGAGCAGCCCTTCTCTTCAGACCACAATAGGAGGTATATTTTATTATGTACACTGCAGGGGGCACAGCATAGGCAATCAGCTATTGGAGCCACCATTATAAAAAGGGCCCAATTGTGGTACTGGGAGTGGTTTATAATTTCTCTCCATGTTTAAATTACTGTCAAGTGAATGAACACAGAGCAGAATGCATGATTGTCCTGACTGGGAAGCTTTTCTTGAGTCAAGGAACATTGAATTTGCAATTAGGCAACTGTCCTCTGCAGATATGATCAACATTGCCTAACACAGTTATGTCAGCTCAGTGATTTGAGAAAGAGACCATTGACTAAGTCTATGTGTCATGTTAAAGGTCTCAGCAGTCAGCATATGTATATGAGCACCATCAGTCTATCTCTAATGATGACATCCCCTCTCTCAGGGAAGGGCCTACTCGTTTTTCAAAGGCAAAATAGAAAATTTTATTTAATCTTAAAAGTTCATTATTATCATCACTTTAAAAATCACTTTTTGGTGTCATTTTCAAATACTTTTTTTAAAGTATATTGCTGCTGTTATCTCTATTTGTTTCTGTTATCTATTGTTTCTAAGTCATTAATAGTTTCAATTAAATTCTTTTAGGTTATGTTGATTTTTGCATACAGCAATGTCTCCTGTAGTTTAGGCTTGCCTCATTCTGTGTAAATTGAGAATTATTTTCAACACCTAATCCTGCCTCTGCTGCCCAGTCGTGAAAAGACATTCCTGCAACTCCTTCTGGGTTTGGCCTTGACTAGTCAGTGAGAAAGAAAAATAGAGCAGTTAATGAGTATCTGCTAATCATTCTGGCTTTTGGGGGGACTTAGAAATGAAGAGGGATTGGTATAAGAATTGAACTCATTGTCCAACTTTGAAGCTGGTGGAGACACAGTACAGGAAGTGAGTGTTTGTCCTGAGGGTGAGAGCTTTCCTCCTTCAACTGAGATTACTTTTCTGGAACCAGGTAGTCCATTGTAGATGCTGTATGATTGTCCTGATTAACCATTGTTTGCAGTCCATGAACCTGGGCAATCAAGAATCTGGGAAAGGGACTGAAACCTACTTGCTATGTATACAGTAGTTCATCCAAAATAGAAGATCTGTGTAAAATGTTGTGTCCCTGCTTAATAGGACTGCTAGTTTTCTGGATTAAGATCTTCATCTTTCTAGAAAATATATAAAATATATTTATTGTGCTCTAGTACAAATCCCTAGTCTCTGGAGCACATGGCCATGAAGCCTGTTTCAATGTTTCAAAATAATTTTTGAGATTAAAACTACATCATATCCATATTGTCTTTGTTACCTCCAAGTCCTAACATGATCCTGATTGTTTTCTAATTCATCTTCTGTATTTCTTTAACAACACTTACACAGTAACAGTAGATACTTTATGAATGGGTCCTGTGTTTGTCTGCAGGATTTTTCATCTGTGAGCCAATGAAATGTCTACACTGGAAAGTGAGTGTTCTATGTAATGTGTACACAAAAAACCTATATTTTGTGTGAGGATCAGGATGTGCTCTAGGCGAGGCAAATAATGTGTACTAAATACAAATTTTCTAAACTAGACCCCCATAAGTTGGGCTGATAGGGCAGAACTGGAAGGACTATGCTGTCTGAGTCATTGGAGCTGCTAATATTGTGAGTCCCAGATGGGTGGCCCTAGTCAGTGAGGGATTCTGGGAAGTGCTAGCAATGGGGGGTACTAGTGACAGACATTTTGTGGGTTCTTTCCATGATTTTCTTCTGCCTCTGCTGTAAGAAGCAGTAAGGAAGATCACAAGCTATCTATAGTGAGTGGAAGGTGTCAAGAGCAGGTCTGTTGAACTGTCATTTCTGCTATGCTTGGAATGATCATGAGCCAGACATTAGCAATCTTGGTCCATGTTATTTGTGGTGGCAGTGGCCCTTGTTCTCTGAGCCTCCTTGTGTATGGATTTACTAGGGAGTGGGGGACTCTGAAACCCTGGAAATGGAGGATATGATGCTGGTTTTATCTATGTCCAGAGTATACACATGGCACTGCTTTTGTTGTATAGTGGGAAGAGAGATTAGAAAACTGAAGTTCTAGATTCTACAAGTTCTGAATGTTGCATTCCATTTTTAGTTTTTTTTATAAAGATTACAAATTGTAGAACTGGTAGAGCAATACTTGAGTAGAATGCTTTTAACATGATCCTGCCATTAACCACAATGATGTGATACAGTGAAGCTTACCAGGGGACAAAAGAAGTTTCTTATTTGCAGAGATTTCTCAGGTATGCATTGTGTTAGACAGGAAGGCAAGGCACAATCCACATATTCTGCCACATGCCATGTAGTAGGAAGCAGATTTTAAATTATTTTTTGGTTGTTTTGAGATTGGACGTTTTGGGACTGTATTTACATTAAACCAGTGGAAAGCACAAGATCTGGAGAGCTGTAGGAAGTGATCTTTTCTGTTTTCAAAGATAACAACTGTATCATGAGGCTGCTGTCTCAGAAGACAGATCAGTAACTGGGGGTCAGAAAAAACAGTGTGTCACTTGGAGTTATTTTTGTTGAAGTTGTTCAGTTTGAGTTTATTTAATTTTTGGAGACATATCATGAAAGATAGCTTGGGA